CCAGCCCTGCCTGAGGAAAACTGCAGCTGACTCTGACTCACTGAACTCGGAGATGTCTGCCACCAAGAAGTAGGTGCCCTCAGGGATGATGGGTTTCATCCCCACAGCATCCAGGCTCTGCACCAGCCAGTCTCTCTTCTGCTGCAGCTCCTTGGGCAGTTGGATGAAGTAGCTGTCTGGTTTCCCATAGAGCTCGAGCTCCCTCTGGAAACCCTGAGCCATGGCCTCCTGTGAGGAGAGAGGTGCCCATGGGGAGATGGTCAAGGCTTGCTTGAGAACCAGAGTCTGCTCCAATGCAATTCACAGGTGAGTAGGGAGCAGGGGCTGATTTCTCACTACACCAAGCTGAGTTCTCTGCCTCCAGCCCCTCCAAATGGCCTCTTAGATTTGTCAGTGCAAAATAAGGACTATACCCCAGGCAGGCTGGACTCTCCCCTTCCTCTCAGACATGAGGCAACTGCAGGGAGAGGGGAAGAAGCATCTCCAGGGCACCACACAGCACCCTGTCTGTGCCTTTCAGGTCAGCCATGGGCAGAAGGACCCTCTCTCATCCCTGCTTCTGGGGTTTGGGAATTGCAGGACCAGTTGTGTGGAGCCACCTTACCTGGGCAACTGTGGCACAGTGGTACACTGAGTTTTGGTGCACGGTACGGAGGTGCTGCAGCAGACGGTTGGGTCCCACGGTCCAGCCCACCTGCGGCCAGGAGAGCAGGAGGAAGGTGGTAAGTCTCTGGGTACCTTCTTGGGCTCCCCTTTATTTGCCTGTGCTGGCTTCGTTGTATTTTCCAGACAGGGCTATGATAAAGCAGCTTTGGTACTTTCAGACCCTGAGGCTCAAAGCTGAGTGTGGCAGCAGTGTCCCCAGGGCCATGCTATGGCGATCAGACCCACACCCTGGAGCAAAGGGATGGGCATGGGAACACAACAAAGGTGCTGCGTGGGGGGATTCACCTTCCATCCAGTGGCACTGAAGGTCTTCCCAGCACTCCCAATGATCACTGTGCGGTCCCACATCCCTTGCAAGCTGGCTGGCAATGAAACGAGAAATACCAATGGCAGAGCTCAGCATGTTCACTTCTGGACTGCATTAATGACATGGTGGGAGCTCTTTGCCCGTCATAACCCATGGTGGCCTCTTGTGTTCACAGCACATCTTTCAACTGGATGAGCCTCAAAGCATGTCTCAAGCACGCAGCCAGGTTTCTCAAGAGCACCTCTTTGTAATTAAGTGTTTTCATACGCATGAACCCCAGGGGTTCCCAGAGGTGCCAAGCACCTTCACGCTGCAACAAGGTGATTGCACGTTACTGTAACAGGAAGAACAGGTCTCTGAACTCATGTTGAAATGGATGTCCCAAAGCTAGAGACACCCAGAAAACTGTGGGTTTAGAAAGTGTGGGAAAAAAATCAGTTTCACTGGAGCCAAAGGGCTCTTTGCTCTGGATCTCACGCTGTGAAGCCAGCTCTCTGTTTCCTCTGACTGACTCTGGAAGTCAGTGTTCTGGTTTAAGTCCTGATTTAGAGGCTGACACTGAAGTGCAGCAAAATATCTCTAATGGGGATACACGTCTGGTAGAGCTGTGCATGCTTGCCTGGGGACCTCCGTTAAATCACCAGTTCCTTCCCTGAAGATGCTGTACCCAGAGAAGACACCATGGCTCAGCCAAACCATTCTCCGTACCAATGCGGATGTGCTCCTTCCCATCGTAGACCAGCCACTCGTACACTTCATCACTGATGCACAGGACGTCATGCTTCACACACAGGTCTGCAATGAGCTCCAGTTCCCCTCGGCTGAATACCTGCAGCAGGCAAGGAGTGGAATAGAGATACAGCAGGAGCATTTCTGAGTCCCTGCCTTTCTGTGAAGGCTGTGCACCCTGCTTGCACCTTCTCCCAAACCAGGGCAGGCAGGAGCTGGTTGCAATGGTCTAACAAGGCAAAGCCACTGCTGGCACAAAACACCAGGCTTAAAAACCACCAGAATAGTACATGCAGCATGCGGTGCTCCCGCAACACCCATTTCCCTTATTGAGTCACTGCTACACTGCAAGTTGGCTGCGTGAGCTGTGGCACCCCAGCTGCTTTCAGGGCCAGCAACAGCGAGGCCAGAGGCGTTACCTTGCCCAGAGGGTTGTTGGGTGAGTTCAGGACAATGGCTTTTGTCCGTTCACTGAATTTAGAAGCCAGTTCAGTTGGGTCCAGCTGCCAGTCTGCACTAGACATCAGTTTTCCATCTTTTGGAGCTTTCTAGAGAGAACAGAGGGGAATATCAGCTTGCTTTGCTACCTCTGCACTTTGCTGACCGCTCACCTCTTTGCTCACTTTGCTACAACTCTTCCCTCCTTGACGGCTTTGTTCTGACCCACTCACCAGTCTCAGTGGGACAAACACAGGTGTCCCACCAGCCATTTTCACCATTGGCTCATAGCAGTCGAAGAAGGGCTCAATGATTATCACCTGGAAGAAAGGGACATGTCAGTGCCCTCCTGGCCCTGCTCAGACCTTCCCTGATAGGTGCAGAGAGCAATGGGAGGGACAGGAAAATTTAATCCTTGAATTACTGTAATGGAGAACCTGCATTGCCAGTGGGCAGTGTCAGGGAAGAACAACATCCCTCAGGGCAAAAAAGGTTATTTTGCCTTATGCAGAAATAAGACAGTGCCTTGCAGCAGAGAATTTTTTTCCTTTGGAAGCTCAAATACTGGAGAAAGGGAAAAAATCTTTTCTGCTTTGCAAAAGGACTATGAAAACCTGCCCCTGGCAGACCCACAGCCAAGAAGGGCTCTGCCAGAGGAAGGCTGCCTGTGCAACAAGCCCAAATCTTGGGTTACCTCATCACCTTCCTCAACGAAAGCCTGGAAGCAGCAGAAAAGAGCCTGGTATGCTCCCACAGTCACCATCACGTTAATCATAGGATCCAGCTCTCGTCCAAGCAGCTTCCCAAAAAACTGGGCTAGGATCTTCACCAGAGGCGGGTGGCCCTGTGGGATGAGAGGAGGGGTGGGTTTTGGATTGCAGAAGCCTCCTAAACCATGGATGAGCCCTTGGAAGGAGCCTGGGCAGCCAAGCACCCTGCAACTGAGCGTGCAGGGCATCTTCCAGCCTGGCTGCTTCAAACGCCCCGGTAAAGCAGGGGGCCCGGGCTGAGGCTGGATGCATGTTTTGGTTATGTGATCTGCCCTGATTATTGCTGCCTGATGAGCCCTGAAGCAGCCAAGGCTAACAGGGAGTGAGGGGGGTATTGCCGAGGGGGGGTGTGTCTGTTCACGCACAAAGGCACGGGTGTACTGGTGCAGCATGTAGTTCTCCCTGCTGAGGGCTCTCACAAACGCCTCCTTCAGAAAGTCCGGTGGGGGGAAGTCGGGGAAGCCCTGGCCCAGGTTCACTGTGGAGTAGGTGGCAGCCAGTTTTACAAACTCCACCCTGGAGAGAAGAAAGAGAAAGACAAGTATTTTCAAGGGGTCCGGGCAGTGTGCTGGCCCTGGCTCTGCTGTCAGCATGCCTGGGGAAGTGAGCGAGGTTGGTGTCCCTCCTGTGGAGTCATCCTGCCACTCACAGGTGGACAGGACCAAGCACAGGTCATTTCAGACACGTTTCCAACAAGGACAAGGCACTATTGCACTTGGGGGTGGTTTTAATTTGTTCTCAAAGGAAACAGCCATTGTGCTGTCTGGGTGTGTGGTCACAGCTGAAGTGGTACATTGCTGCTGATCAGATCTGACCAAGCAGGAGAGGTCTTGGAGGTTTTCAAGCTCGTACCAGTTCTGCGAAATTTAGCAACTAGACACCATGAAGGCCTCCGCAGAGGGAAAGGCAGCCTGAACTCAGCGTTTGTCTCAAACAAGAGCCAGGTCATTGGCAGTTTGTAGCTTGAAACCAAGCACAGCAGGGCTTTGGGGACAGCCCATTTAAATTTCTTCCCATGCCTGTGCCTGGCAGGCTGAGATGGCATTTGCAGCATCCCTTCGCCTGCCTCTCTGCTTGTAACGCCCTAGGGTAGGCTTGAAGCAGATGCCAGGCTGCAGCCAGCATGCTGCAACCACTTGGCTCAGATTTGGGTGCTGCTGGGATCATTTTAGGTGTGGATGGTGCAGGGCACCTGATATGGCATAAAGTGTGAGCAGCAAGTACAGAACTGAGCCAGGGTAAAGTCTTCCAGGACAAACTTGCCCTAATGTGCTTCCTGAACAAGTGCAAAGCAGCCGAGGGAGACTGCTGCGCTGTGCTGTGTGGCAGTGGTGGTTTCCATCTGGTGTTAGGCTGCGTAAAACCACATCTACCACTAGGGTAAACCAGATACTCTCTTAACTCACCAGATATTCTTATCTATTCCCTCCAGTCTCTGAGCTTGCACTGGCCTTGATATTTTTGCCTGCAAAGAGAGAGAGAGAGAGAGTTTGAAGTTTCACTAATGGCAATGGTGCCATGTGCGAAGGGGACGTGGCCTCCCCAGGTATGTTTTTCCCAACAGAAGGTGTGCCCTTTAGTATCACTTCATGGGATGTTGCTGACCAACCTGAGGGCAGCGACGCTGTTGCAGTGGTTTCTGGAAAAAGCTTCACACGCTTTTTACGAAAGATCAAACAGATGAGAGCTGGCAGAGAAGGATGTTTCATTTACAAGTTTCAACAGGAACTGAGAAAACACATGAACAAAAGAAGTGTGTATACACTCACTGGGGAGCTGGCAATGCCTTAAACCTCATTTTCAGTTGGAATAAATCATGGGGTTAAATGAGCTCAGCCAAGCTGTAACAGCAAGGCCAATGATCCCAGACCTCAGGCTTCTGTCTTCCATAGCCTCTCTTGTCCTCCATCAGAAGGACTTCCTTGTTCTCTACAGGCGACAAAATATCCCCTTTTCCTAGCAGAACAAACTTTTTTTTTATTCCACGCTGCTCTGAGGAGTAGCAGAAGTATTTACTCCTTTGTCCTGCTGGAGTGCTTGGTGAAGGGAGTTGCTTTTTTTCCTCCACAAAATGCTGGTTTCTGCACCTAAAGTTCATGGCAAAACCAGGCAACAACTGGGCACAGGCAAGTGGGGAGCACAGCACACAGGTCAGTCTGATGTATGGAGACACCAAGGTACTGTTCACCTGACTGGTATTTAATTTCCATGTGCATCATGGTTAGGGGGGTGGGAAGAAGGGCAGTAGGAAACATTGAGAGCAAAATCCTCCTTCCAGTCAGATAAGCACAGTGGGAGAAAGTCAGTTGTGCTTGATGGGGAATTTATCATGAGGATGATGAAAAGCAGCAGAGGCAGAATTTAATAACTCAACAGCGCAGGGAAAAGGGAACCAGGCAGCGAAGAGACTGGAAACCTGAGATGAACGATGCTCAATGCACCAAGAAAAGCCAGCGTGGGGATGTGAGGAGGGCATCTCTGAAGCAATGAGCCAAGAAAACAATCGTCACCATAGCAAATAAAATACATTTGAACAGGGACGAGGAGGACACGTGAGAGAAGCTGAGATGTGAGATGCAGAGTTGGGATGTGAGAGGACAGGGTGCCATGCTAGAATTGGGTGTGGGGCAGGGGGAAACCAGGTCAGCCCCCTTCCCCAGGCTTGGCCGCAGTGGTAATTCCTCACTTACCTGCTCACCTCTGACATTTCCAGAGGGCTGCACCAGCATATGAAAAATGCCCCAGCAATATTTTGCATTGAGAGCTTCGGATTTTTATACAGCTTCAGCCCTCACTAAGGAATCTTCGCAAACACCTTGCTGAGGAGCCCTGTGTTTCAGAGGGCACCGGGTGGACTCTGCGCTCCTCCGTGGTGCCGGGCAGGCAGCCAAGGGTGAGCAGAAGTCACTGCTTCCCCAGGTCTAGGGGAGCCCCACTTCTCTCCCCCAGCCCCCTTCCTTGCTCTTTCTACACAAGCTCATGGATATTATAGTCAGGAAGAGCTGGTGCCTGAGCTGATTTTGGTGGCAGTAGAAGGATTCATGGTTTTGGAAGTAAAAGATAGCCGAAGGTGAAATATTAACAGATCCAGTGCTGTTCTCTTGTGGCGGGGCTGCTGGTGGCCACAGTTCAGAGAATGTAACAGCATCAGCAAGTGTGGTGGGAGTCAGTGGGACGAAGGTGCTTTAAGCCTAGGAATTCCCAGTTCTGAGGAAAGGCCCTGTCTGCTCCAGCCCTTTCAGGAAGGGAAACGACAAAAACTTTCCTCTTTTGACATTCTCTCTATCCCATCCCCAGCCTCCTGCATGATGCTGCCATAGGCGGCTGCCCATCAGGCTGGAGAGCAAGACAGGCTTGGGGCCACGCAGCTCCCAAATCTGTTTCAGCCTGTTCTGCTCCACAAACCGACCGATGTGTTTCTCCAGTTGCAAGTTGCCTGGCAGCCAGACAGGATAGTTGAGTGCAAATGTGTAAGACTTAGCAGCCACAACCTTCCACCACTGACTCCCTGCCGCACGTGATTTCCTTGCTCTGCATGTTAGTATCTCCAAGAGGGATGCTGATATTTCCCAAGTACTTTGCAACCCAGGAGACTTTAGTAGAAGAGACCATCAGATGAGGCAACCCCACAAACAATGAGCTTTCTTCTGTATAAAGAATATTCTCTTGCTTATGAGACGTTCCCTTTAAACAGGCTACTTGGAAATAAGTGGGTACAGAGGAGATTGCACCAGTGTGGCTCTTCCTGACGTGCCCTCTCTGCCATCGCTGCCAAGGTTAGCTCCTGGGCAGTGAGCTCCCCCAGGCTCCACACCGCTGCAGCCTGAGCCAGGGACCAGGCTGCCAGCCAGAAACAGTCACGCTGGGTGTTCAATACCTCGACGGAGTACGAGCTATATCCAGCGCTGCTCTTCCTCTCCAGCAAGAAGCGACACAGAGACGGTCCTGCTCTCCTGAGCATGCCACGGCTCCTGCTGTCTCACTCCTGCGGGCGCAGACCTGCATTTCCCCCGGACACAAAGCAGAGGGGTGAGATAATCGCTCCACAGCTGCAGGGGCAAAGCAAATGCTCCATGTACCTGGGGACACAGAGGAGGTCCAGACCTAAAGCTGTGGCTATTCTGCCACAGAAAAGAAAAGGGGGAATGAGCCGCTTTGTGTGTTGCCACTGCAATGTCAAACAGTGCCAGGATTGTACTTTGTGCTTGTGACACACACCAAGTCAGGATCACAAGGGCAACCATGGCCTCTGCCTCCTCTCTCCCTAATTCCAGGCTCCCCCCTACTTTCCTCTGCACTAGGGGAGTGGTAGGGACACCAGTGGGAGTGCATCCTTTGGGAACTGAGCATCCAACATCAGCGTCCCATCCGCTTTCCTTGATCCCAGGTATCTCTTGCCTCTGCGCTTCCTCCCCTGCAGCACCTCGCTGATGGGGCTGTGCCTTGGCAGGGCTGCTGGACACCCTGACTCCTGGGGCTCCGAGTGAAACAAGGGGCTTTAGGGATGTGCTCTGGGCAAACCCACTCCACACAAACCCACCCTTTCCTCTTCCTTTGTGTTCTTAAGGTTAAAAGAAAAAAAAAAAAATCAAAGCAAGAGTGCTGCTGGTTTTGAGAATCTCTGGCCTCTCAGCTGCTGCAGCTCCAGGCTGTTTAGTTGCAAGTTTTATTCTGATTAACAAGATATCGGCTTCCATCTCCAAAGAGATTTTGGTGTTTACCTTTCCTTCAAAGCCCCAAATTAATTTCTGTGCCTGATGCAGCCTTTTTCTTCACCTCAGGTCCCCTCAACTATTCTATAGTATTCCTTAAATATGTGGTATTTAAGCTAAAATACCTTACTGTTTATAGAGTTTAGGGAAAAGCAATGAGTCTGGTGGATGTATGCACCTTTAGATTGACCAGCCATGGATTAATTTGCCCAGCTGCCAAAAAATAAATTAAAACAGGTTTGAAGCTGGCCAGCCCACAGGTAAGTTCTCAGTACTGCTAGGTGCATTTCCCTTCCTTACGTGCAGGATGTGAGCCTGTTTGCATTTCATGTTATTTCTAACAAAAGTGCAAAGCAGCTGCCAGCTGAGACCAGTGGAGTTTTACATCTCTTTGCCCAGGTGGGAAAAAACAGCATAATTTATGGAAAAACAGGAAGCCACAAAATACTATTGTTGGGGACTGCAAAATACCTACCTTGTCCCTGTGCGTGGGACAGCTGCATGTTGGGGACGGGCGCTGAGATGTGGGGAGACACTGCTTTGGGATGCAAAGCAAATGGGTACTGGAATGAGGAGACTAATTCTGCAGGTGACAAAATGAAAGTGTGGCAATAAAAAGGGCTTCACTGGATTACAGAAAACTATGGAGCCGGCATAAGAGGTGTGCACAAGGCTCCTGCAAAGAGCTGGAGGCAGCACTGCGGTCAGGGTGCTGCTCGCGGTGGGAGCAGCCAACCGGGGCTAGGGCAGAGGGCTCTGCCTCGCCTCCCCAGCCCTGGACAATGTTTTGGAGTGGGGTCAGCCACCAGAGAGTCAGAAAGCCTGGGAAAAGCTCAGGGAGCCTCTCACCTGGGTGGGCGTTTCAGGCTGTGCTGTATATACGCTCCCAGCAAGGGAGCCAGGGCACCTCTCGCCCTGGCGAGGTGCACGGTTTGGAGCACACCGTGCTTTCGTGATTTCGGAGGTGACAGCTGAAAGGTCACCCCGAGGACCGGTCACTCACCACCTCCTACCCTCCAGCCCATGGGCACCAGCTTGCTTCTCTGTCCCAATGTTCCCCAAGCACCCCCACGGCGCTGACCAGTCTGGCTGCTCGCAAGTGCACCCAAAGGGCTCTGGGGACAAGGGGTCCCCCAGAACCCATCACACCATGGGGTGCAACGCCACAGCGGGAGCACGGGCAAACGCAGCAGCAACAGCCAGCAAGCACACATGCATAGGTGCAAGGCAGCTCCCAGAAGGGATATGGGGGGGGGGGGGTAAAACCGACTTACATCAAGCTGGGCCACGCAGCCTTACGCTGAGAAAGTCTGGCACAACCGCCCAGGCTGCATTTGCACACATGCCGCCCTCTCCCTGTCTCTGAAATGCTTCATCTGCAGCTGGGACTTCCTGGGAGGAGTCGGAGAGGCTGCAGGAAGGCAGGAGTCGAGCTACAACACTCTGATGGGGAAGATCGTACCGGGGAACGGGAGGTCTTGGGCCGTTCTCTAAAGCACCAGGGTGAGGGAGGAGAGGGCTTTTGGGACCAGGTCCCTTCCTCCCAGAGACTTGCAGCCAGAGCTGCCAGAGGATTTTGGCTGCCTGGGAAAACATCCCAGCATATTGTTTAGATGGAGGCTCATACTGGCATAATTGTAGCAGGATAATTTTTGTGGTATGGCTATAATTACTTTGGCATGGCAATAGCTGGGAATTTCCCTTTGAGTGAAGCCTTTGGTCATTTTGAAAAATTAATTTTTAAGTCAGTCAGACACTCTCAAAAACTCCACCCTGCAGGCTTAATATTATTAGAGAAGAGAATGGATCACATGTATAGAAGATGAAGGCATCAGCACTAGGTTCATCAAAGGATAATGACCTACTGTCACGATACAACATAAAGCAGGATCCTGCAGCATCGCCCGACCCGTGGGCTGTGGATGGGCAAGGAGACAGCTAGCAGCCCCAGAGCGGGATTTTAGTGCATGGATGAAGGAGCTGAACTCTCCATCAGTTGTTTGAGAGGTGACAATTGCTCAAGTGAGGCATAGAGCAAATTGTCCTCTCTTGGCTTCCCTCTTCCTTTTGTGACAAGGCTTTACACGCACCAATGAAGCAGGTCGTGCAGCTCTCCTGAGTGAGTAATTACTGTCTCCTTTTCACAGTAGGAAAAAGTGAGCCACAGGGAAAGGAAGCAACTGATGTCCGCTGTGCAAAAGGTTCTTGAATCCTAACCCGACATCCGGCCGTGGTCTCACAGCATCCCGGCCATGACTAAGTGGGAGGGAATGTCAGTGCAGGCAGATGCAAACTCTTTGTTTTCTGAACTTCTGCTTAACTCAAACACTGAAACAAACAGATGAAAGGATAACTTGTGTTTGCTTCCGTAAGAATGTACGCAGCACATCCTGAGCCATTTTCTCCTGCTGCCCTCGCTATGTTTCTTTGCCCCCTTCCACCTTCCCTGGTTGTTGTTTATCTGTGAGCTGAGCTCACTTGACTAGCTAAATTAGCAAAAGGCCAACCTGGCAGAAAAGGGGACATTTTTCTGTAAGGTCTGTGAGTTGAGCTGGCTCAGGGCAGGGTGGGTGTGAGTGCTAAAGGCACTGCAACGAGATGTCGATCTGGGTAAGGACCAGAGCAGAGAGGAATGGGGAGAAGAAGGGATGGACAAGTATACAACCCCCCACCTTCTTTGGCAGGATTTGGCCTTTATATTGGTTCAACAGTGACATGTAACTTCACCTTAACGTCCTCTTGAAATTCAGCAGAAATTGCTAGATAATATGCATGCAGCCAGCGAGGAAAAGGACACATCTGACTTTCTTGGAGTTTGTTCTGTAAAACTCAAGGAAAATTAGGACCTTCTCTTTCTTCAGGTCATTTTAATTTAACAAGTGCATCTGGACAGGAACAATTCTTAATTTTATTTTTTTTTTTAAATCTAGCTATTGCACTGGGCTGGTGAGTGCCTACAACACGTGGCAGGTGGGATCATAGCTCATCTGGTACAGGTCCTGTGCCTGTGGCTGCAGGAGGATGCTAAGACCTACGATGTTCCTAGAAAGCCACCAATATGCTTACTTTACTATAACAGTGATCACTGGTGTATACAAGTTAAAATTGGCTGCACTTAACCACTCAGAGCTGCCTCTTGTACACTAATGAAATTATAATGAATGCCTTTGAACCATCCTTTATGAATTTTTTAAAAAAAAGATGCTGCCCAGTGTCCTCCAATGAGTCAGCCAAATGAAAATAACCATTAGTGAATCAGCCTGCTTTTTTCAGGTACCACAAAATGACTGTTGGATATATCCTCGTATCACACTGGTGTTGCTATTGCTGCTGTGAGGAAACAGGCGCTGTATTTTTCGGTGGCCTTAGTTCAGTGAACTGTTGTTAGAGAAACGGAAGGGGGTGTGTGTTCAAAATATTGCACTTCAGCCATTTCTCACAGGTTGGTTCTTAGAGGAAAAAGCGGTAAAAGCTGCAATTTAAGTGATTTTCTTTCTGTTACTGTTAACTAGCCTTAATGTTGACACTGGTTGACGCACACCAGGTCTGGACAGACGAGTGGACGCTCCTCTGGGGGCTCCGCACAGCTTTAACCACGCCGAGGGGCTGAAACCGAAACGAACATGCTGTCAGGGCATGGCAGCTATCGTCACCCTTCCGTTTTTTTGCCCCCAGCCTGTACCAGGGCCCAAGGCTGCCCTTGGCAGGCCCAGCTTTCCTCCCCACTCTTCCTGAGGGACACAGGCTGCTGTCCCTCAGCGCCACAGGCTGGGAGACCCAGTTGCTGTACGTAGAATTACAGTAAAGGAAATAATGACAGAAGGCTTGATCATTATTAGGTCATAAACCTTAAAAAAAAAAGGTGTTGTTTTGGTTTGGGTTTTTTTGACAAAAAGAATCAATTCTGGGCTCCAAAGTCCTGCTGTCCTGCTGCAGCAGAAGGCGGCACTCAATTTGATTTGAAGAAGGCAAGTTTTGGACCGTAGACTTATTCAATACACGTTCCAGAAATGGAGCTATATACAACTGCGCACTTTACTGGCTCCCCCCCCCCCCCCCCCCCCCCCCCCCCCCTCCCCCCCCCGCCTCTCCCTCTCCTCGTTATCCCCTCCGCCACCATAAATTCCGCCCACCCACGCCCGTTGATGGTGCCCTGTACAAAGATGGTGGCATATCCGTCTCATCATGCCCGCTCCCAAGATGGCGGCGCCCTCCTTTGCTTCTTAGCAGCGGCGGGACGGGCGGGTGGCTGCCATGCCAGGCGGGTGAGGTCAGTTCCGGGGTGGGACCGCCGCGGTGCGGTTAGGGGGGAACAAAAGGAGCCGGAGCCGGCGTGAGGGAGGGCGGGGGCCGAGCGGCCAGGTGGGTG